CATCAGCACTGATGTTGCTGGAGCTGGAGCTGTTCAGCATGAGCAGGTGAGTCTGTAGCAGGCACGGGGAGGGTCTGGACAGCACGTGGGTCCCCACCAGTACTGCAGGGCTGGGGCCAGCAGCTGCTTAGAAAGGCAGTCCAGTGCAGAGCCACCTCAACCCTGCTGTGTGCCCAGGGGCAGCAGTACACGCCACAGGCTCCACATTTTGAGCTTTTATGCGATCACCTCTATATATACAAGGCAAACGCATACAAATCAGGACAAAAGCACCTTTTAAAAATAAAATAAAAATATGTTATGGATGTTAGATTTTTAGTACAGGCAGTCCTCGACTTACAACGTCTCAAGTTACAACGTTTTGCACTTACAAGGTTTATAAATTGACACCCTGTTTCAACTTTATGATGTCAGTTTCAACTTTACAACGCTTGATCCAATGTGATGCCATGCTCACGAACAAGTTTGCTGCGTCGCTCATCTTCCTGGAGAGCATCTGTCCAAACTTCCTTGGACACTTCCTTTAATAAAGCAGACAAGACTCCACAAAAACCTGCAGCCAAGACTCCTGAGAAGACTCCAGCCAAGAACCCTTTAAAAAGTCCAACCAAGAGCCCTTCAAAATGTCCAGCAAAGTCACCTCAAAGAAGTCCTTCCAAATCACTATGATTGCTATTTACAATATACATATGTTAATGTAGCTATATTACTCAGCTATAATTGATTGAGTACAAAATTCTGGGGTATTTTTGGTGAAAATAGGGTATTGGGCCTTGGTTCAGGAACCAATCCCACATTTCTAACATTGTTTCTTATGAGAAAATTGGTTCCAAGTTACAACGTTTCAACTTAAGACGCGGTTTTCAGGACCGAATTGTATCATAAGTCCGAGGACTGCCTGCATATAATTTGTTTTTTCTGGTTCCAGGATGGCAAACTCCCTTCCCAAAAAGGAGTATTTCTGAGGCAAGGGCAGGGACCTCTGGTGGCAAAGGTCAGGGGTTAGGGGGTGAGACTTCTAGTACCAAGATTGTGATCAGGGGGCGGGGTACCTGTCAAGGGGTGAGGCTACCTGTGTGGCCCTTGACAGCTCACCAAAACTTGCTAAGTGGCCCTCCACCTGAAGTAATTGCCTGCCCCTGTTTTTTTTAGTCTGAAGAAGGGAAGACTGAGAGGGGATTTGATAGTAGCTTTTAACTACCTGAAGGGTGGTTCCAAAAAGGATGAAGCTGGACTGGTCTCAGTGGTGACAGATGACAGAACAAGGAGCAACAGTCTCAAGTTGCAGCAAGGGAGGTTTAAGTTGGATATTAGGGAAAAAAATCTTCTTACGAGGGTGGTGAAGGACTGGAACAAATTACCCAGAGAGGTGGTGGAATCTCCATCCTTGGAGGTTTTTAAGACCTGGATTGACAAAGACCTAGATGGAATCTAGTTGGGAGATGATCCTGCTTTGAGTAGGGGGTTGGATTAGATGACTTCCTGAAATCCTTTCCAATTCTAATTTTCTATGATTCCACACCTTTTATGGTTTTCCAGATAATAGAATTTCTTCTTCATCTCTTCTGCCACAGTCCAAGCTAAGAATTTATCTTTCTCTCCTGAATATTTACAGAGTGTGTTTTAGGCATTTGTCTTCCATGCTCTCCATGTATAGAAGCAAATAATTTATTTCCCTTTTGTTGTTGTTGGTTTTTTTTAAAATAAATATTCATCTTCTGACAGTAAGTCATCTTTGCCTTCTCTTAGGGACCACAATTCCTCTTCTAACAGTCTCTCATTTCTTCTATATTTGAAAGTTGCTTTCTCTTAACTGTTTCCTTCCTGCACAGAGGGAATCAGTAGTCTGAAAATGGGATCTTTTCCCTCTTTGCTTAGGAACATTATCCCGAATGCATCAGCTGGAATGTTGTGTTCTCCTCTTTCTCCAGTGTAAGCTGCCTCCTACTTTGTGATTTTTCTTTTCCACAGTAAGGACAGAAGCAGTGCTCCATTCACATTGAATCACCAGCATGGCAACAGTGGTCCCTTTGATGGATGCTGAAGGGAGTGCAGGACGTTCACTGGAAGAGCTTTCTCATTGTGACCAGGTTTCTGCAAGTCCTGCTGTCTGTAACCATCTTTACCACCAGAGAAAAGGCCCAAGTTGAAGCTGACTGCTCTGTGGGAAAGCATCTGTCAGGTTCCTCCTAGAAGAAGGTTCAAGGGATCTAGTGAAGAGTTTGGGGTTGATCCTCTCAACTGATAACATGGTGAACACGGCCTTTGAATGAAAAGGCCAGGTTGAAATCATTCCTCTCCTCTTTCTGAAGCTTTATAATGAAGCTGAGGAGAGAGATCCCAATTTCTTTTGAATGAGTGGTTTGCTAGGGATGGATGGTACTCACTTTGGCTTTAGAACTGTATAGCCTGCCACTGTTAGTTAAGGACATCCAGAACAAGAGGTCTGGCAGTTATAGAGGGTATCAAGCAGCACCTTCAGCTCTTGGGAAAAATTGCATTTTTCATAGATGAGGCTCCCTGAACTGGGAGCACATACATCCTTTCTGCTTCAGTGGAACCCAGTGGATAGTGACTGTAAACCAGAATCCTCTTTTGTCCAGAGGTCAGATAGTCTCTCTTGCAGTGAAGGCTTGTGAAGTAGAAGAAAGGGATGTTGTTATTGGGGCTGCAGGTAATAATGATTACATGAGGTTTAAGCCTTTGCGATAGGGAGTGACTTCATACTTCAGTGACTCAAAGAATCTGCTCTAAAGCCAGAGAGGTTGCTTTAATCAATTTACTTAAGGGAAGGTCTTTCAGGGAAGCTTTGAGCTGTGAGGGTGACTCTGTTGCCTTATGGAAATAAGCTGTATTTCTCTGTCATATTGTGGTTATCATCTCTTGCATCAACTACAAGCATACAATTAGCTCAAGAAGCAATGTTGAAGACTGTTCCTGTATGCCCATTGATATAATTCACCAGGATAATGAATCAAGAGGGACAGTATTTCCCGGAGCATGAAAGCTGAAGCTAGCAGTATTTGTGCTGGCTTCAAAAGCCTGAAGCAGTCTCTATCAATGCACCTGTTCAGAACAATGGGGAGTGTGATGCTTTCCAGTTGCCAAAGAGTCTTTTGTGAAGGCTTTGCTGTCCTAGAATTTTCTCCTTGACCCATCCTGGCACAAAAATATTCTAACCCTTCTGACCTTCAAGGCATGCCATAAATCTCATCTTTTTTCCTCAGGCAGCTTGAAATGGAGTTACTTGTAGGGACAGTCAATTGCTGCAGTTGGAGGAGTGTAGTTTAGTGTTTGCCAGTTTTGCTGGTTATGGACCACATTAACTGAAGTGCATCAGCCATCTTGGAGTGTTATTTTGCATTTTTAGGTTGTGTCAAGGGTGTAGAGTATCTGGTCCACCACAGTATATATATATGTGTGTGTGTGTGTGTACTTGTGTACTCACATATACAGATGCTTGTAAGCATATGACAGCACTGCATTAAAAATGTGACTGCAGATTGTGTAGATAGCCCAAAATAGCTTGAAACTGGCTTCCTGACTTGTTGGATCGGTTTTGTAATTCCATGCTGCTGTGGCTACCCTTGGGTTATTATTACCCAAGCTAGCTAGGTTAGTGCTAACTTGGAAATGTCTAGATAAGCTGCATGTAGATGTAGCCTAAATTAATAGACTGATTCTCTAAAATTTCTTTTTCCTTTTGTTAACTGATATTAGTACAATCCATTGCTCCTTTTGATTACTTTTTGCATTTTCTGTTTGGTGACATGAATACCTGTAAAGTAGCTATATTTCTCTGGTATATTGATTTAACTGCACTCAGAATTTACTGAGATATCTTTTAACTTAGAGTGCTTTACTTTATGCCTGGCTAGTTAAAATTTCCCATTACCATTTGTGTTCTGTTTACATATGTAAATGTTTTTGATTTCATTACATGACACTCATGTTTCACTGGAATACATACTGCTGCTGGGAGGAGGAGTAATTCTTCCAAAACTATGCTATCTATTACCAGCATCTCCATCAGTCTCCATGTATCTAATCAGGAAGTTGTAGACCAAACCTTTTGTCCAGGCAGTTATCAGTGTGTTATTAATCTCTAGATTCCTTAGAGGATGGATTATACCTGTCTTGCTGCACTTTCCCACTACAAAAAATGCACCTGGCTAATTTGCTTAGCAGTGACTTGCAGAGTAAAATAACAAATTAATCAAAACAGATTTTAAGACCATATGAATAAAGTAAGATTAGAACTAGACTATAAGACTGAATCTATTGGCCTTGCCTAGATAATGCAACCCACTCCACAGTGCTGGACAGGCATTTGGTTCTTCCCAGGGCCCTTGCAAAGTTGTAAGGTGGTTTTTCTGATACAGTTTCTCTGTACCAAAGAAAGAGAAACTGGAATTTATTTCATTATCATTGTTAATTCTCAAACTGCAGTGCCCCTGCTAATGTAACTCTTGGTTGTTTTTTTTTATTATTATTCTGGCCCTGAAGTGTTTGGTTATTTCTTAGCAATTGAGACATTATTGTACCAGTTATCCAAAGTTATCCAGAGTCATTTTGAACATGTGTATATATTCAATACAGATGGATCACATTATTTATAACAATTATAATTTGTATTGTTACAAATAACATGATTGGTCTGTGTTGTGCTGTTCTCACATCTGAACTTCTCCAGAGTTCAGAGTTCATATCCAGGGTTTTGTTTAGGTTAGTTTATCTGTCTGACTCTTCTTATCTGTCCTTCCCTCCAAAATGTAGCATGTATGTAGTTAGGGAATGTATTTAGCAGGTAAGTAGGGAAAAAAGGGAAATAAAATTGAACATAATGAGACATTTAAACTCCATTTGAAAGATTGTGTTAGAAATAACATATGAGCCTTGAAAGCTATTCTTAGAAAGAGAATGTAGGTGCAGTTCAATAATTTTGCCACACAGTGTCACAATTGGACTTTACTTTTATTCTGTGTTTCTTTCTGTTGTAGATGAAGGTATTTACAAAGCTGGTGAACGGTCTGAAATGTTGGGAGCAGTAGAAGTCCAAGAGGATGAAGACACTCGGGTAGAGGTGCCAGTGGATCAGGTATTGTGGGAAGAAGTTCATCTTGTACATTTGGTGTTGTTCAGTTTCCTTCCTCCAGTTTCATTTCCCTGCGTGTTCTTTCAGGGTGCATGCTTTAAATCCTTTTCCTTTTCTGGAACTCTGCCATGCTCTAAGAGGAGTCTTTGCAATCCCCAAATTTATCCAAATGCTGCCCAATTTTCAGAGAATTGTTACTGTACAAGGAAGATCCAGTCTGTATGGTGAGCTGCACTATACTATTTTCAGAATCTGTGCTTCAGACTTTACTTGGGCTTTGTCTACCCTTGAAGTGGTTTGCTGAGTAGGAATACCACTAGAGCTGTTCTGGCAAACCCCTCTATTGGAGATTCACCTTATCATGGAAGGGAAAAAAGTGCTTCTGGAGGTATAGTTGCTTGCTTGCTGTTATAACTATTTGTGCATTGGGACTTTCTCCAGCATAGCTATGGCACTGAGGAGGCATGATATTTTTCCTCCAGTCTTAACTAACATAGTTATGCCAGCCAAACTTTTAAGCATAAAGCAGTCCTCAGGCTACCTAGTAATTTCCTTGGAAGGAGGAAGGTGAAGAAAGTCCTTTAGGCGATCTGGTGATACCCAGGGGAACATTTCTTTGGAAGTACCTGCAGTTGGGTACAGTTTGGTTTAAAAAGTAAAACAATTGTTCCTGTGTAGTATTTGGGCATTCAGCTTTCTTCTTTTTTAAAAGTAACTCATCATGTCACCCTGGGTTCTGTTTTTTCTCTTCTCTCTTTTGTTTCCACTTTTTTCTTTTGCATAACTAAGTGATCTCTTTCATATTTCTTTCCCCTCTCCCTTTTTCTTGCTTCCTGTTCCACATTCTCCCTGTATTGGGCCTTCTCCCTGCTTCCTCATGATTTGTCTTTCTCACCTTTAAGCCCTTTCCACTTGCCTAAGATAACACTCCAGTCCCTTCCTCCATAAAATTTCCAGAGCTATTTATCCTTTGTTTATCAGCATATATATACGCACCCATGCACACATCCCAAATGAAAAGGCTGCTGTACGTTATAGTGGGCTTAATTAGCCCGCATGGTTCATTGACTTACACAAAGCTGACCTCGTGAAGGAACACCTTGACAGGCTGGATACCTTCAAGTCAGCTGGCCCTGATAGGTTGATCCAAGGGTACTCAGGGAGCTGGCGAGCATTATAGCCCAGCCCCTGGCACGGATCTTTGAGAGCTCTTGGTGCTCTGGTGAAGTGCCCAATGATTGGAAGAGGGCCAATGTCGTGCCTATCTTCAAGAAGGGGAAGAAAGTAGATCCGGCAAACTACAGGCCCATCAGCCTGACCTCTATCCTGAGGAAGGTCTTGGAAAAGATTATCAAAGAGGCCATCCTTAACAGACTAGCTGAAGGCAATATCCTGAGGGATACCAAGCATGGCTTTGTTGCGGGTAGGTCTTGCTTGACCAATCTCATTTCCTTTTATGACTAGGTGACTTATCACCTGGACAAGGGGGGAAGAGATCGACGTTGTATATCTTGACTTTAAAAAAGTCTTCGATTTGGTATCCCACGATCACTTCTCAGCTTAACTGGCTAACTGTGTCCTCGACCTCACCATGATCCGTTGGCTGGGGAATTGGCTCTGCGGTAGGACCCAGAGAGTGGTGGTCGATGGGAGCTAATCGTCTTGGTGTGCTGTGACCAGTGGGGTCTCTCAAGGCTCTGTCCTTGGACCTATACTATTTAACATCTTCATCAATGATGTGG